TCTGTTTATTTTTTTTATCTTCCAACTTCATTCATAGATTAGAGCGGCCATGTTGTACAATCCCAGTTATTACAGTCAACTTTTGAAGACTTTCTGGCTCCAAACCCTGTCATCTTGTCTATTGTTGGCTGACTAAAATATTTGCCCGCAACAGGACTGCTTCTGTATAATTAATGCCACACCAGCCAACAACACAGTCTCGTCTTCCATTACTGTTCTCCGTTTGTTCCGATTGCGCTGAAGTCACTCAGTGAATCCCGTGTGTCTTCTTCTGCCTCGCAAACAAACTTTAGGTTTGATGTGTGCGTTACTGATTCTAACAGATTATTCTTATCCCAACTGTTGTTGTGCTGTAGACGTGTAGAGCCATGGAAAACTAGACAAACAACATAAAAAGAACATTAGAAACAGACAAGATAGCCTCAGTGAAATTAACCAGGAAACAAAGGAGTGAATGAGAAAAGACACACATTACAGGAAGAGATGTTTTCCCACAATCAAGGACGGAGCTCCCAGCCTGGTAGGAATCACACAGCCACTCCCTGAACGTATCAGCTGAACAAACTGTGTTACTTTTATAAACAGCAGGTATGTTTTATTTAAATAATTCTCCAAGATTTACGACCGCTTTCAGACTTTTATGGAAATAACTTTGCATTTTATATCCGATGCATAATCTAAGGTCCGTCGAAGCGCCGTGGGTGTGTTGTCATTGACAGTCTTCCTTTGGCGAGTTCACCTTGAGGTTTTATTGAGGTTCAAAACCTGCCAGTCCTGTGACTAATGGATTCATTAAGTTTTCCAGTAATAAGAAACTATTAGAGCTAATGTTGGAGCGCGATTCTTACAGGAAACGCTATTGAGGCAGTGACAAGAGTTGAACCTTTTCTGTTGTCCTAACACAGCTACTGTGGAGGAGTCCTTAATGAGGCTGTCATGTTTCAGCCTTATCAGACAGCTGTGTTGACCACACTATGTTGCTTATGGCCCATTGTCTCCACTGGTGTGCAACTCTCAGCTTTCTTGTTACAGGAAGGCCCATAATTCTCCAATGTTATTGCCTCCTGTGAAACCTTATGGCTTGAAGTCTCCAGCAGCAACATATATAGCCCAGCTATTTCACAGTATCCTGTGAAGCTGTAATGTGTTTAATCTACAGTTAAGGTGGACTTGCTGCAAAGGTAACAAATGGACAAGATGTTAAATGAGAATTCCAGAACCATTTAAGGTCTGTTTGTACAAATAAGTTAGATGATTGTGATCCAACACAGCCAGAACTGTTCTACCTATAGTTCCACTGGGTTCTTGTTGTCTTAATGCAGTTCATTTATACTTCACGTGTCTCATAATGAGGTGTCAACTGACGTCAGCCTGACGGGTCCTTACCAGCTGTTCTGCTGATAGTGGCTCCAGTCTGGCAACTAAAAATGAACCTCACAGTGACAGGTGACAATGATTTGTCTCCTCAGAATATCATGTCCAGTGCAATGCAACATGAGACACTTGCTAATAGAACCTGGCTACACTGTCTCCTTGCTAGTGAATTGACGCTCTTTAAAACCACTGATACATAAGAATATATACTGTATTCTTATGACTTACATATTCACAGTACCAGTACTTTACCAACAGAGGTGCATGTTGGAATCTCTTTTCCTATGTTTTTTTTCTCTACTGTATCTTTGCTCCTTCTTTGTTTTTGTTTTTTACCAGAGTGGTAAGTTAAACCCTGATTGAGAACCATTTTCCTGAAGTTAGTGGAAACATCCTTCCACTGCATGTGATGTAGACCAGAAAAATCAAATTACAAACCAACAGGGGAGCCTAGCAACAGTGACTCCATTAAGCTGTGTTGCCAATTGATTTGGATTAAAAAAAAAAGAAGAAATGTCTTTAAAAAAAAAGCATATGCTGGCAGGTCTATATATGCACGTCTCCCCACACTCACCCCACTCACGCACAGCAGCATAAATGACACTCCTCCAATGCCTCAGAGGCAGTTTTCTGCTTGACTTAGTATGCAAAACAAGAAAGCAGTGCCACGTTTAAAAAAAAAACAATGAGCCTTTCTAACATCTGGCATCATTTCAGAGTGCCGAGAAATATTGCGCCTTCAATTATTGGCGTTGTAACACAGTGAGAGGGAAAAGACGTGTCGTTTAATGTCAAATGTTTCCCAAACAGACAAATGATTCGCCTTAAATGAGCTAGCTGAGGATCTGTGGAGGCTGACAGCCGTGTGGACAGGTTTGAAGACATTTAACCTTTTCTCTATGAATGTATGACAAGTTGAAAGACAACAATGAGACGGCAAGTGGAATTACATTTGTGTCTGTGTGTGTGTTTCACTTTTTTTTTTCACCGCGGGTGGTGTGTGTGTGTGTGTGTGCACCCATGCATTGTGCGTGTTGCCCTGTACATTTTCGCCCCAGGCTGTTCTCAGAGCAGCGTTGACTGACGTGTCCTCTACACTTGATTGAACTGAAAATATAGACAAGACGTTGCGTATGTGAAAGCTACCAATTTAAAAGCCTTCATCTCAAAATGTCGGCGAGACATCAGCACCATCAGAATCTGACAGTTAGTGCTACCGCTGGTTTAGATGTAGAAAAGCTGAGGCGAGCGTGTGTGTGTGTCAGTTACTCTAAAGGATTCTAACCTTTACACTTTAACCTTTAACCTTGGGTCTTTGAGTGTCTTCCTATTACGTGCTTGCTACTGTTTTTTGTCTTTTTCTGGAAGGCAACGATACAAATCTATTCCACTGACCCACCACCTGCGTCAGTAGCTTAGCTTAGCTAATGGTCTCGAATAAATTATTTGATTAAACCAGTGTGGGAACACTTCAAAATAAAAAATATATATACGTATTTTATTACTTTTGTATTATTGACGTTAGTATTTAATTATATACTTTTATACTTGTGCAGTTGTTGATTTTGCTGGTTCTTGAATTAGGCCATCTTCAGACCTGGTTTTTTCACATTTTTTTAAATTTCTTTTGCCTCATCAAATGCTTCTTTAGTCAAATTGAATAAAAAAAAGCAATAGCATAATCAATTAGAGAATGATCCATAGCTACAGTTGTTTTTTTTTTTCCTCGCTCCTTTGCGTCATTCTAGCTTGTTCCTGTGTTTGTTTGTCACTCTAATCAATGAATTGTGAAAACATGGCGTTGTGTTATCATCTGGGGAAGGCTTCTCTATTTTTCTCTCATTCCATGCAGTGATAATTCTGTTTGGAAATGACAGCACTGTACCACATCGAGAGACAGGCAGAGGGAAGCAAAGGGAGGTAGCATTTAGATAAAACAAATTGCCAGCTGCTGAGCCGTAGCAGCCAGTGCTTAGATAAAAACCAAGGGGACCGTTTGCATTAATGTGCATGTCCTGAAGATTCTGTCCCTTTTTTGTGATTCTGTCCGTGACTGTGTTACCTAAAGGGGTGACCCACCCCCTATTCTCAGCTTACTCCCTGGAACTGCCAGGCGCTCTGTTAATACAGGAAGTGGCGGAGCTTTTTCTGGCCTCTAACTTCAACACTGTTATAGGACAAGCGGCAGGAATTCAAATCAATAGCCAGGACTGTTTCAGTTTGCGGCAAGGTCACACATGGAAAAGGAGAGTGAGGGGTGGAATTGTGGGGACAGTCACAGCTAAACCAGACAATACTCTATGTGCAGAGGTGAAGTGTCAGCTTATTTTAATTCACCTGCACCTGAGAGATCTGCCCCCACAGGGAGGTGGTAATGTGTCTCAACAAGATCAGGTACATCTGGATTTTGTCCTTGTTTGTCAGTTTTAGATACTCTGTTTATTATGTCAAACTTGTGGACTCATCAATTTATTAAGTGGCTTTAGATTAATATATATTTTTTTTTAAATATATAATATATATTAAAAAAATATGTATACATATATTTTTTTTATTTTTTCCCCAAATGATCCATTCATCTTTTGTATTTATTATGGCCGTAAAGATAGTGTTAATCTCACACAAGTGGAACTCAGGGTGTGGTAGCCACTGGCGGCATTAGTATTCTGCTGAGATAACCACACACACTCTCCCTTCACCGCCTCTAAAGGAATAATCAGCAATGCTTTTCTTCTCATCTCTCCTTCTGTCTGAGATGTCGAGTGATTTAGCATTTGTTTTATTTAGTACCTGCTGGGACATTGTCAAGTGTTTGAAAATGCATGTGAGTGCATTCGCCGTGCATTTATATGCAGCTCCGTGGCCAAATCTGATACGTGGGGTGTCTGAGCAAACATACAAAATGCCCGTGTTCTCTTTTTGTCCTTCTGTCCTTCCACTTTAGCAAAATAAGGAGTTCACCTTTTTGGAGTCGGTACAGAGCAGTCTGTTCTGTTTGTTTACTATCAGGCCCTGTTCCTGTAACAGACCTGATAAAATCTCCATCTGATCTTTTGCCAGAGACGCTAGCCCCGCTGTCAGCCACCAAAGTTCCAGCCACCACCCGGTCCCATATATATCCTCTATCAGGCCCAGATCTGCCGATGCTCTGCTTTCTCATTTTCTTCTTATCTCTATATTCCACCTTTTTTCTCTGCTGCTAACACTGCAAAGCCACCAATCACTCATCATTTGCCTGATGCTTTCATCGTCTGACCGAGCTCCATCTGGAGCAAATGGTTGATCATCTTCACATAAACTGTCTCTGAGGAGTCAATGAATGACAAAGCATGAGGTTTAGAGTAAAAATGAAGGTCAGATTAAGAAAAGAAAAGGGGGAAATGAGTCAGGCATTCATTTTGTTAACATGTCCCACTTTAAGGGTTTCTGACCAGAAAAATACACTCTTTCTGTTTCAGTCTCCAGTACCTGGTAACTATAAACAGCAATAAGGGTCTCAATACAAACTTAGGACACAGCATTGGCCTCATGGGGACCACCAACGTGCTGTAATGTTTTCACATTTTATCCTAGGACCTTAGTATTTAGGAACAAATCATTTCATATTGTGTTGTTCCGTGTTTCAGGCAGAGGCTCCCGGCCAAAAATGTCTACTACTACCGCTGTCCCGACCACCGGCGCAACTACGTCATGTCCTTCGCCTTCTGCTTCGACCGGGAGGAAGATGTGTACCAGTTCTCTTACTGCTATCCCTACACCTACTCCAGACTTCAGCATTACCTGGCCAGCCTGGAACGCAGAAACCTTAGCTACCTGCAGAGGGAGCAACTGGGACTTAGTGTGGTAAGAGACCATGTGATGGTGTTACTTTGTTGACAAATTTAATCAGCGACTTTGTCCTGGGTACAATTTGAATGTTCAAAGGAATGCGTTGGTGGTTGAAGGTGACAGTCTATTAGGTACTGTTGATTGTTTTTGTATATAAAACAAATGAACCTGTTCCTGAGGAGACAGAGAACTTGAACTGTACATGAGTGCGAGTGTGGTCAGAATACAGAGAACCCAGATTGGTAACTCTGCTCTGTCTGCCAGTCATAACTTCAGCCTCTCGTGTTATTAGTGTTACACTTTGAGATGATAGACCATAAAAGCCTTCGGGCCTGTGTGTGCGTGCGTGCGTGTTTGTGTGTGTGGTATTGGGCTGTGAGTGTAATCAGCAGAGCTCTCACCTCAGCAGTGGGAGCCAGTGTATCATACACGCTGCCTCCAGTCTTGTCTGCTCTTATCAAATAATTGTAGAAGAAAAACTCATTAGAAATGCTTGAGAGATTACAGCTTTCTCTTCTGTCCTCCAACATTTGTCAGTAAAGCCGGCTCCGTGAGGGAGCCGTGAAAGTGCAGCGACCGATCGAATAAATACAGAAGGATCTCTGATTTTCACCAACAGATGATGACGCGGTTAAAAAACAAAACAAAAAAAACTAGAAAAACAACAATACAGGCGTTAATTACATCATAATGTGTAGTCTAACGAATCCAAATGCACGGCAGTGTCCAACCCTGTAGACATTCTTTATTTTCAGTCAAATTTCTTAATGAGATTTGAGCAGCACAATCTGTTGTCATCAGACAGCCGCTATAGAAAACATCATATCGTGGCACCATTTATTTCACTGCTGTTTATCAATGTTTGAGTGACTGCTGTTTATCAGGCTGCCATTCGTCTGCACTGTCTTATATAGAATATAAAGTTAATGAAATGCGCCGCACAATGCTGGTTATGCAGCACACTATTTTCATCCTATTGTTCGGTCACATAATTTGTCTGAATGAGACAGAGAGAACAGACTCGGTCGGTTTGGCTCACAGAGTCAGTATTAGTATTCATAGTCATACTGAGGCTTTATGGCCGTATTTTTCTCTTTATGTTCCTCAGGCCTGGGTGGCAGACAGCCAGCCCCACCCTCTCCTGACTGCTCTTTCTCTCTCTCTTACTGTTCCTCTCGCCCGCCTCTCTATCTCATGCACATATGCAGCTTCATACACGCAGACACAGCCTTGCACACTCAGGTCAGAGGGGAATGGATGAGGTGAGCTTTCTGTCTGCATCAAAGTTTAAAGACAGATTGCTGCCATTTGTGGCGGAGCCGCTGCAGCAGCACCACAATAACTTTAACCTTTTAATGGGTACAGTTATCTCCCGTGGATGGATATGGCATCCAGGGATGTATGCAGTGGGATTCTTCTATCTTGCTGACTAATTTGTTTTCTGTAATGTATTCCTCCTAACAAAGTCTGTGCAGCCCATGAAGCGGGGTCCTATGAAGAAAAAGGTCGACTGCTTTTAATTTTTACCACCAGCTCTCTTCATCATAATGAGCAAGATAATGTTCTCTGATTTATTAGTCAGGCGTTTTTATTGCATTACTACAGCCAGGATTCACTGAAGCGGAGTAAATTGAATTCAGTGTCTAATTTACTTTGAAACTGGTTTACTTCACTAATCTCAGAGAAACGCTTTTCATCTGAGACACAGGTAGAAACCGAGAAAAATCTGACTGTTCTTCTGACAGAAAGGAATAATGGAAATTTGATTAAACATTTTAGTTTTTTTGGGCCCAGTCCTCAGTAGCTGTAGATTTATCTCATTTCAGTGACGGTTTTTGTAGTAGAAGCTAAAATATTCTTCCCATCTTTAATAATTATCGTTAATTGAATGGACTTTGAATGTGTGGTCATCATCAAACATTAACACTGTCTCCCAACATTGGACTCTCTAGTTAACCTAAATGGAGATATAGAAAAAATACCTCGAAGACATCAACCAACTAAGTCAACCAGGTAAACAGACCCTCTGTCACATAAACATTCCAAGCAGAACCTTTGGTTTAAAAGGTCAAAGTGTATTTTTGCTGTCAAACGTCCACATTTTAGCATAACATCATGACTCCACTCTCATAAATGTATTCACGTAAATTTAGTTTTTTATTCACATAAATGCATGGCATTTATCATTTTAGACTTAGGGTGGCCCTAACGCTCTGGTGGGGTTTTTCTCGTTTTGTTTTTTTTTTTTTTTTTTTTTTTTTTCCAGAGGTTTTTGGATGTTCTGGCACGGATGTTCTGGCACTTGCTGGACTAGACTGGGATCAGGGCTTTGTGTCTGCTTCTCTCTCTCTGTGTCTCCCTGCTCCTTTTGCAGGCCTCCGCGGCAGTATCTGATTCAGTCTCTCCCCTGAGGCATGAGTGCTCACAGAGACACAGAGTAAGAGACAGTTTGACCTGCTGTAGTGCTAACAAACCTCCTTGTAAAGATGGCAACACTTTCTTCTTTCTTTTAAACCAATCCTGTTAAGTTCTTGTGTCCCCTGGTCATCTGGAATTGAAAGCAACTCCTCTGCCCTCTTTGCCTGTTTACAGAGCTTTTTTCTCCAACAGCAGGCAGTATCAGTGTGCTAGTTGTGGAGACAGCACTTTGTTTTGTTTTGGTTTTTTTTGCTTTTTTTTTTTTTGCTTGGCCCAGAGGAGAGAGAAGGGCTATAGCAGTATTAGTCACCTCTGACACAGCACGACCCTTGTCTGTGGACCAGATGGAAGAAAAGTGTAAATGAGAGACCTCAGGGTGACAGAGAGGACAGGCCACTGACCAGCCTTAAGCCTGCCCCCGCCACCCCGCCCCTCCCAGGCTGCATTGACTGTTAAACTATGAGTGTGGTCCCATACATAGATAATGTACTGTAACACATTAGACCTGGACATCAGCTGTTGTGATTCACAGTCATTAGTTCATACAACTGTACAGATGTACTCCTTCATCTGTCACAGGGGGGCGCTGGACCTAATCCCAGCTGTCAGGCGACGGTGAGGTTCACCTTGTACAGTTAACTGGATAATTACAGGACCTCACATTCATTCTTGTTGACTCTAGAACATGTATCAAACCCAAGGCCCGCGGGCCAAATGCGGCCTGCCGAGGCATTTTGTGTGGCCTGCTGGTTTGTAATTTACTTGAAAAGTTCAGAAGTTTAATTTGAATGTGAGTCTTTCTTTGCTTTTTCTTTAGTCGATGGATGAATATTATTTTTAGAGGAAATGTCCAACATTGGTGGCAAAGTTAGATATATTTTAGGTTCTAAAAACGTCTTACAAAATCAAAGTCTCCACTTTACATTAAAGTAATTTAAATTTCATGAATTTAATGTAAAAATTCAAAATATCCAATGTGTCCGATGCAGTAGATGCTTGGAGATATTTTTTTAAAAACCCAATATGAATATGCAAATACATTTTTCCACATCTCCACAAATAAGTCCAGTCTCTGATTCAATTTATTGTGGCTGTTTTGTAAAGTTTATATAACCTGATGCCTTGAAAACTATGAAACATGGATTTTTCCTCCATCCTTTTCCACACTGACCTCTTGTACGTGTTGTTTTTAATTGTTCATGTCAGATTCACAGTACCATACAGAGATTCTACTTTTTTTTTTCTTTTAAAATCTCCCAAATTAAAGCAGGCTTGTGATGGATCACCTACACTCTGCTGAAGTGACTTAACATTACTTAGTCTGCTATGATTGAATTTTACACCTAATCATGTCTGCTATCAGTGCTCAGGTGCCATGTCTGGGTCCCCGCTCAGTAGGAGTGGAGTCTCCAAAACTGTTTCTATGTGGGAGCCAGAGGAGTGGAGTGGAGCTACATATGCCTGACTGACTCTCTCTCTCTCTCTCTCTCCCTCTCTCTCTCTGACTCCCTTCCTCCCTCCTTCTCTCTCTCATTCTCTCTCCTTATCTCTGTGTTTGTATACGGAGTGCCAAGATCCAATCAATAGCCTCTCCAACCATGGAGAGAGGAGAAGGTCAGCAGCCACACTGAAGCAGTCAGACAACAGGCTAACTGAGTTAAACACCCAAAACATTGGAAATACACAGGGGCCTAACACAGTTCCACAGGAAGTAACAGGGAGACGTTGGAAATCAACACAGTCTTTTTCCTCTGCTAATCAGAGATTATAGGATTTCTACTTTCAAGGAAGCTCAGCACTAATTAAAACATTCATTTATTACGTTTTTGCTCCAACAGATAATAAGATAACGTGGATATTATCTGTCTATATACACAGTATGTGGCTCTTAATTGTCAGGTAATTCAATTTAAAAAATAAATCCCCACAGGATAATATAGCTGTTTAATGGAATGTATGTGTGTGTTGCATTAGGTTTTCATGAAAAACATAATGGTGGTAAGGTAAATCCTATATACAACCAGCACTAATGGGTGGTCCAGGTCACGCTACAGAGTGAGAGGCATACAATATGAATGAGACGATAAAATTAGAAAAAGATACAGGATGTATAATTCAAATGAATATGTAGGTCGAAGATTTAACAAAAATGTTGATTATAAGTAACTAATCAGAGAATAAGAAGATTGAGGGAAGAAAAGGTGTTTTCACCACAAAAGGACAGAAGGATGGATGAATAGATAGATTATTTTATCTTTTCAGCCCAAGGAATAAGTGCTTTCATACATACAGTTTGCAGAACACAGTTTTTATTTGTATTTTGTGTTTATTGGGATGGTAGCAAAAACAAAAAAGAAGAATAAAATCTCCCAACCAAAGACTGTTTCAGCCATTTGAAAAAGAATATTTTCCTTTGTGCTTTTTTTTATCTCAAGTTTTTTTTCTTTGTCTGAATCTTCAGGGTCGCCACACCAGAACATTCCCTAAGTTGTCTCCATGTTTTTTTCTTTGGTCGTGAGTTGCTCTTTGTTATCCTGAGCAGGATTGTATTTTTTCCCTCTGACAGCACCAAACGTGTACCAGGATGAAAGAGTTGG